TGTTAAAGCAATTGATGAATCTTGGCCAGAAACTTTGTCAGAAGTTAGAGTTAAACAAAAATATCTCAAACCCTAGTTATATGAAGCGTCCCCCAAAGACTAATCCAACGATCACAATCATGCCACGCGTAAGAGATCCAGCAGAGGACGCATTTTGGAGCTAAACGCGTTTCACGAAAACACGACTTTGTCAACTCTAGAATGTTCAGTAAGTGTGGTAAAATCATTGCGCCGGGTTAGTATAATATCCATTGGGCTCAAAGATTTCAGCAGCCCAAATCCTTACAGCCTAGGATTTTTGGATGTATAATCTCCGTGGAACTCCAGCAAGGCTTCTGCGATTGGATAGGTACGGGGATTGTTAGACGAGCAAGGGATCTTCTGTTTCGAATTATACTAAGACAAGAACCCCCAGTCTACGAATTCTTTTTTGCCTGAAAAGAGGTATTATTGTAGGTATATCATAAAAGATTTAGTTTCGAGTTACTTTCCATTTACTGGTTTTATACTAATTTCTGCTTACTTAAATGAGATATGGAGAGGTTGGTTAACTTGATTGAAGTCTAATTTTTAAAGCCGCTTATATGTGAATTTTATCGAAACTATGAATTTATAAATAGGGAGTGATTATTGATTAGAGTTTTGTCCTAAGATCAAATTTTAATGCTTTGTGCAAATCTATTTTAACCCATAATGATAAACATTTATCTTTTCAGTTAAAGTAATTGCAAAGTTTTCATGTTTGATGTGCAATTACATTGCCTCTCTAGTAACTTTCTTAGTTTTTTCTTTCTAATTATAATCAGTTAGTTTGCCCTTTAATGCTTGCTCTATATATTCTAGTAAGAACTTACTTGTTCTTGAAAAGTTTAATTAAATATGATGTAGAATAAATTATGTTTTTACTCTTTAAGAGTAAATTCTTATAGAATTTATTATTTTGAACAATTGTATGTCATTGCTCCTACAAAGCGTGATATTATAATTTCAACATTCCAAAAGAATATTAATCAATTTTTCTTGGAAAAGCACAATTCTGCTAATATTAAATTCTGCTAGAAAACATACTTCTAAAGAGTTAATATTTTTAAATAATAATTTGTTGTTGCTCCTAAAATAGCACAATATCATAGTTAATATTCTAAAAGTATATTGTTTACTTCTAAAGAGTATGACTATTGACATATTGTTTTTGAAGAAATAATGGTAAAATATAATGTCTTCTCAAAATAGTGCATGTCTTCGAGAAATATATCATTTTGAAATAATGTTTATCCCTAGAGGAAAACATACAACCCATGTCTTAGGAACATTGGTTTTTATGTGATTATATCATAGTTAATTATATTTTCGAAAATTAACTATATCTTTTGTTTGATTGAATAGTTATTCAAATGGCAAACATTATATTGAACTAGAAGTTCAATTACTAAATGTATTATTGTTTGACAAGATCAATTGGACTATCATTGGATAAATAATGATGCGAAATTGAGAATTCAAATATTCAATGAAGAACCAGAAGATTTTTCAATCCAATGAATTCCTATATAATGTTTATTCTCCTTACTGAGAATTGATCATTAATCATCACTAGTTAAAATATAGATTGAATTTCCTATATATCTGAAAAGTAATTATGGTTATATATGAGACCTGTAACCCTCTACATAGACCATCTAGATATTATTTATATCTAATAAATTTGATACATTTGTTAGATGATTGCATGATGTTAGCAACCTGAAATTTGTAAAGTTATTGCTCAAAAGTTAAATTATGAGCATAATTTTCAGAGTACACAATCAATAGTTTACCTTATTAATGCTAATAAGTTTAAATCTTAACTTTTTAATAAATGTTAGTTGTGATATCGATCAATGGTTTAATATCATTGCTTGTAAAACGCCTCCAATTAATTTAATTGACAACAAAGTACTTTTCATTTCTGTTTAAGGAATGCTACTATATATCATGACAATATCAAGTTCTCCTTATTATAATTGACTTATGGTCAGAGCCTTTTTTCATTTAATTATTTAATAGTGTAATATATGTACAATTAATTCATCTCATTACATTGAGATAAAAAGTAAAGAATGATAAAAATAAATGCGTATTTTGAACCATAACCCAAGTGATATTATTTTATAATGTAGTTTATTAATTATCAATTTGATTGAACAATTCTTTCAGTATTATGTGTAGGAATTAGGAGGTTGGAAATAATGTACAAATGCATAATTATTTAAATTCTCGCAAGAGATAATTTGAATCATTAGTTCGAAGGATAATTCATTAAGATGTATTCAAATGCTCCAACTTAAATAAACGTTAAGGAGGTTAATTAATTCATATTATATTTGATAAATTTATGGCATGCTTGAAGCATGATGCTACTCGATTCTAATACAAAAATCTTCAAACAAAAATGGAGTAATTAGCAAAGATGGTCCAATTAAGGGAGCATATAATCTTGATGAGTATTTAAACATAACAATTTATAAAATTTCAGAAAAGATTCAAGTATCTAAAATGTTGAAATTTGGAATATCTCAATAAATTATGTCATTATAGAAAAGAATAGAATAAAAAAGAAAAAATTGTTGATAACACTTTTACACATGATATACTGTATCATGTAGCGAGGAATCAAAATAAAAGTGTCAAAATATATCGACTAAAGTAATGATTGGTCTAATAAAAGGGACATAATTCTAAATTGAATTTACTAGAGAAACTTGAAATTTTTGGACCTACAGTACAAAATTCAAAGTGAAATGAAAATAGAAAAAGTAAAGTCATAATGTGAAATGAACAACTCTTTACACAATGAATTTCATGAAAACTTGTATAAATGGATAAATTGATCATGTGGTGAATATAATCACAAGTATTTATTTTATTAGTTTGACGATGCATGGAATTTGAAATACGGTTATGGTCAACTTATTCGGCTTGATTATTAACACTATCCTTGAACAATTTTATGCTTGAAATATATAATTCAAAGTAATATTATTATGGGGGGGGGGGGGGGGGGGGAATGCGTTGTACTCTTTTTCATTGACCAAGTTTTTTTTCATTGAATTTTCTTCGCAAGATTTTTAATGAGACAACTTTGAGCAATGCTACAATGACAAAGGGGGTTTACAAAGTTAAATCAAATCTACACCAATCATTTCGAAAACAGACTTTTAAATCATTTGAAATCAAGGGTCCAAATTTTGCGAACACACTTTGGCACTCCACTTTTGTACACCAACTTTGTAGAAGTAGAATTATTCAACAACATCTATAGCGTACTTAATAGAATAATGTATTTTTTTTCTTTTATTAAGATTTTCTCATAGGACTTTTCCTAATAAGGTTTTAAAGAATCATATTTTTTGTGCAGTGAATGTCTATAACATACAAGACATGTATCTTCAAAATAATATTTTGATATATATGAAACTCCTGAAGAGATGAACATAGCTATTTTTCAAATTATTATGTTACTATAGTCATTAAATCTTGATAAATATCTTGTATGAGGATGATATTTTTTGAAGACTATAAAAAATAACATGAGATGTTTTAACCAAAATTGCAATATTAAAGATATTTTGACAATGTCAGATATTTTGTAATGTATTATTCAAGAGGAGCATTGTAAATAATATGTAATGTAAATGACAATTATACAGCCCTAGTTTTTATCACTATTGTATCCCCGATTCTTCTTCCTAAATATGAGACTTTGATTCTCAATATAATACATAAAAGTTCATTTAATTCCTTAATTTTCTCTTTTTTTCATAGCAAAATCTTTTATATAAAAAAAAATAATACGCTTTATTCTACTTTTAATTAGTTGAAGTCTTTTGGTGACATTTTCACCACCTTTTAAAGCTTTGCCAAACATAAGGAATCATATGTCAACCAAATCTAAAAATTCGGGCCAATATAAGTAGTTCTCTAGATTCTCATAATTTTTATACACATGGATATTTAGCATCTGAGGTAGGGTTGAATATGATCTGGTTCAATTAGAATCGGATCGAACCATAATTTTTGGGCATTTAATAAGTGGAATCGTTGAGTCTAAATTTAATTCCATACCATAATTAATTTTTTTAACATTTACAAAATAATACATTGATTGAACTAATGACATGTTTAATTTTAACTCTTACAACAACATTATATTAACAATTACAAAATAATGTAGTTCAATTTAAAAATATACAAATAACAAATTTTCTTATAAGATGAAGAGAGGTATAGCCACTCAACTTCGATTATTTGAAAAACGACATAATGATGGAGAAAAATTTAGGTCACTCAATTTTGGTTATTTGAAAGTTGAATTACAAAGTTGGGGTTTGACTGAAAACAGGAAAATTATATTTTGGGCTCAATTATTTAATTGGTGAAAGAAACAGGAAATTGATTTTTTATTTTTTATTTTTTGGCTCAATTACTTAATTGGCAAATGGAACGGGAAAAAATAAAAATAATTTGGCTTGTTAAATATAAAAAATTTAAAAAATTAGAAAGATTTAATTTTTATTCGATTATTCGAATCAAGAATTGAGAGCCGAATCAAATTTATCGATTCTCGATTCTTATACATTCGAATATTAAACTTAAAAAAAGAACTATTTGATTCGAATTAGTTCGATTCAATGGGAAAGTTGTGCCCAGCATCGAGGGCACATCTCCAAATGGTAAAAGGAGAGGGTGGAGAAATCCAGCTTTACTTGAGGCTACCGCGTCAAGAGTTCGAATCCTGAAATATGGATTTGACTTTGGGTAAGTGTAAGTGTACAAGTAGCCTTCCACCCTGTACCCTTAAAAGCATAACATGCGATTTACCTCCTTCACAATGTTTCAGAACAGGACAGTGAGAGACCTTTAAAGTTGGGGTTTAACCATTTTTTAAATTCCAGTTAGGGTTTTTGCTGTACAAACACCAATGATGACTTCGTTCCATATTTTTATATAACTTTTTTACCGTTTTAACGTTCTCTCCACTCCCAAACTCTCAACTTATAGCAGAAACCCTCTTTACCTACTCATCCCTCAGCAGCTGTTGGCGCCCTCATCCGCCGTTCCGTAACTTCCGTTGCTGCCGTTACCGTCAAAAATCTAAGGGTAGAAGAACCCAATAAATCATTTGACATGGGTAGTACTGATGAGAAAGCTAGGGAAGAAGAGAATAAGAAGATGGAAGCTCCCAAAGTGGCGCCTTTTGATCTTAATGATTTTACAATAATCAAAGAAGGGGAGGCCGAGATTTTAATGCACGCCAAAAATGAAGTCTTTTTCAATAAAACTCAGGTCCTCTTTTTTAATTTTTATTTTATTTTTTGGTTTGTTAAGAGTTAAATATTTTGTCACCTACAGATTTTTTGCACATGGATTATGTTTGTTAACAAATTAATATCTTTATTGAATAACGGTTTATGTTGTTAATTTATGTGCTACATTCAATTTAATTATTAAAGCGATTGTGTTTATATTTTGTTGGGTTTTATTTTTTCCTTTTCATGATGGGGTTGTTGTGGGATGTTGTTTTTTTGTTCTACAAGCTTTCAGCTTCTCGTTTGCTGAATACTTCTGACGTTTTTGGAATCCGATGCTTTCAAATCTGTAATAGCCAGACCTAAAATTTTAAGTTTATGCAATTCTAAAGTTATATCAATTTACTCTGTTTTTGGGCTTTGTGATTGAGAACATGTAAACCTTTGAAATTTTTTTATTCTAGGTTAACAATCGAGATATGTCTATTGCTGTTTTGAGGACATTTATATCGAAATACAAACTAGAGCATGAAGCGCTGTCATCCAAAAGATTGAAAACAGGACCAAAAGCTTCAGATGTGTCCACCATTGAGGTGGAAGCTACCATGGATTCCATAACTCATAATGAGAATTCCAATGGTGATTGTCATGTCTCAAAAGAAATATCCCAAGATGAAACCAGCAGCATTGTGGAATATCAATCCTCAAACCAAGAGGGAAAGGGCCAAGGAGAACTGAAGCCACCACGAGTTCTGGAGGTGCTAATTGATGATGTGTTTTTATTGTTGCTTCTTTTGTCAAGTGCCCTCCTATGGGCATTTCACAGCATTTCACATTTTCTTTCCTCGAGTTGTTAATGCTAATGCATATCTTGCGGATTAATAGGCCTTGTCGGCTTCTGGGCTCAGAGCTTTAAGATATGCACGTGAGGTTGATGGGATTGGTCAAGTTGTGGCCTTGGACAACGATAAAGGTAATTTTGGGCCTATTTGGTAGTGATTATGAGTATTTATTTTTTGACTATTAGAGTGAAAAATGGGTCTCACATGTGAGCAAAGAAGTCAAAAATGACTGTTGAAATAGTGAAATGATGGTAAAAAATTGATTTTTTGGGTTGAAAAATTGCTACCAAACACGGAATTTTTTGGGTTGAAATGATGGAATTTTTTCTTTTCATGTAAATTCCATGCTATCAAACACACCCTTATTATTTATTTCCAAGAGAAATATTTTAAATTTCTTCTTCTAGATGAGGATCTTATTTCAGTTTGAGTACTTGACGTCCCCAATATTTCCCATGCTTGTTTACTATTTGCATATACAGTGGCTATGAGGGTGTCAAAATTTTCTTCCATTGCTTTTGAATTTGCATCTTATCTGCAACCTGACTTGGTTTGTCAATCAGAAGTGCTTATATTGTCCCCTTGTGCAGTTTCTGTTGAAGCTTGTAAAAGAAACATAAAATTTAATGGTTCAGTGGCATGCTCAAAAGTGGAGTCGCACCTTGTTGATGCTCGTGTTTACATGCTCACCCATTCAAAAGAATTTGAAGTGGTATGTTTTCAGTCGCTTCATATGAAGTTCACCATGTTGACATAATGGCTTTCTAATTTCCCTGTCTTTTATCCTTGATTAATTTTCCCTTGGCAACAAATATTCTCTCCATATAGTTTGAGTTAGTTGATAGTACATGGATAACATTCTATTTATGTAGAAGAGAAATGGAGCAAAAACGTTACACTTTATAGCATTGACCCATGCCATGATACTTGTCACATACATGTCCTTTATTTGTGCCTTGATGAAGCATATTTTGTTGTTTTTCCCCTAAAGACAGATTAAATGTTATTATTTATACTGGTGTTTGTGGTTCAGGTTGATCTTGACCCTTATGGTTCTCCATCTGTTTTTCTGGACTCTGCTGTTCAATCAGTTGTTGATGGGGGCATGTTGATGTGCACAGCAACTGATATGGCTGTCCTTTGTGGGGGTAATGGGGAGGTCTGCTACTCCAAGTAAGGTTAATTTTTGTTTTTGATCTCTGTTGTTTAAACATTATCATTTTGTTATTCAATTTATCTATTCTTTGTAAAATATAAAGTGGTCTGAGCTGATGTTATTTGTGGGATTAGGTATGGCTCTTATCCATTGAGAGGAAAATATTGCCATGAGATGGCTTTGAGAATCCTTCTTGCCTGCATTGAGGTATTTTATCTTATGAAGTTCTCAATATAAATATTCAAACATTTAGCACTTAAAGCTATTTATGTGTTCAAAACAAGGACTAGATAATTAATCCTGGATTGTCTGTCCTACTTTATTTGTGCTTCTTTAAGCCTTCTAAATTTTCCCTTTGTTATTGTCAACCTCTTTCATCATTTTGTTGGACTTGTTGGATGATAGCATGTAAACATGATAAAAAGAAATAAAGTATCTAATTTATATTAACTTGTGTGAAGGTAATATCAGAGTGTAGCAAATTTTGATCTTGTATTTCATTTTTTTGCAACTGCCATTCACATTGGATTAGTAAATGATGCCTGTATATTCTCTAGAATTGGACCATGTTGTCCCATTTAGTGTCTCTGTACCTACATACCTAGGCATAGCTCTTTTTAGTATCGGGCTTAATTGTTTATGTTTTTAATATTTCTTGCACTTGTTTGAAGGCATCAACTATTTTGGCCATAATTTGTGCAGTTCATTGTCAATTAATTATGGATTATTGAGTAAGAGGTTTACTCAACTATGTTTTCAGCGTAAAATTCTCCAATAATCTTCAATTAATTATTCAAATTACCAGGGGCATTATGTACAAATGGGTTTTCAGGGTGCTTTTTTTTTTTGTACTTAGCCTCTGCTCGACAACCAATTTTTCAAAAC